ATACATACGCACCACACAAGTCACTTGATTTGTATGTGGGCTGTGATACTGCCCGGGCACCCATACCGAAGCAGGTGACTTTATTAGGGGACCGTACCCGGAGCCCTCAACTTCATGTTCTAATCTACAAGGCAGTGGAGCAACGTCAGGAGATGCAGTCCCATGGTACCCGGCGACCAATAACTGGTTCATACGCCATTTGTTCTCTCAGGATCGTGGAGCCCATGTGCATCATCGGTTTGGAATCACGGTTTTCCAACTCCCCTATGTGAATCCTCCATACCCACCAACCCGGTTAAAGCCCCGGACATTCGCTTTTCATCCTCTCAACTTCGTAAACAACACCCCCGCCACGAGAAGGCAGTGAGTAGGACTTCCCTGGCAGTGGCTGTATATGCGTGGCCATGTGAAAGCATTTCGAGAGGGAGCTGACCCTCTCCACCCTCGGTCGTACCAGGGCATTTAGGGGCGATCACACTACCGAGAACAAGATTGGTCATATTTGCACCACTAAAAAAATCAGAAAATCAGTGGAAGACGTGAGAACCAGAAGAAGAGCTGACATAGCTTCAGATCACCACACGGTGATTGTCAAGATAAAACTGAAGCGAAAGGAGCACTGAACAACTGAGCAAACAGCATTACAAAGGTTCGATAAAGCCTGTTTTCCAGATACTTACGAACTCAAGGAATTCAAGATATTTTCAGCAACAGCTTTCAAGCCTTACAAGATTTACCGGAAGAAGTAACTACTCTAGAGGACAACTGGAAAGGGGTCAAAGAAGCACTAAATTCGACGTGCAAGCAGGTTTTGGGTAGCATTAGCATCATCATAAGGAATGGATATCTATGGAGTCAGTCAGTCAGTCAGTAATAACGTGGAACTTCGTACGTACGTACATCAGTTCGAGTTGCCATACCACATTAGCACAGAGATTCAGTTATCGATTCAAATCCCATAGTGGTAGAGGTACTGAAAGTATAAGTAGAGATAGGGGACATTAAGGTTTGATGATGTTATTAAAGGAGTATGGTCCAGTGGAATATATTCGGAAAGAAAATAAATGACATGAAGAATTCAGAAGATTAGAGTTTGAGAGAACACAAAGAGTGGATGCACCTGCGCCATTGCAAACGATTTTGAGCCATGTCATTCAAGGTCTCTAACCATCGGTTGCTATCGTCTCGCGGTCCCTAACCAGGTAGTCTACACCTACCAACATGACTCAGTCCACTTGTCAGTGACTTCATGGATTTCTGCCATGTTTTGGTCTGGCCGCCCCTAGCTTCCTTCCAACCTACTCCTACACCATAGAACATAGCACGTCGGGGCAGTCGGTGGTCGGGCATGCGCAACACATGTCCCAGCCATCTCAAATGATTGAGTTTCACTACTTCCTCAATTGATTTTCCATCCTTACCTAGTACCCGTTTCCTAACAACTGAGTTACTTACTCGGTGGTCCCAGGATATACGAGCAATGTTTCGAAGACATCTATGGTCAAATACTAGTAACCTACGAATATCCTCTACTCTTACCGGCCATGTTTCACTGCCATAAAGTAGGACAGAACGAACTGCTGCACAGTAAACACGTCCTTTGGTTGGTAGACGGATATCTCGCCTACGCCACAAATGACGCAAGTTGGCAAAAGCTAGTCGAGCCTTTTGTATCCGTGCTGAGATTTCGTCACACACCAAACCACAAGGGCTGATGAGACTTCCGAGATAAGTGAAGCGGTCGATACGCTCAACTACTTCACTCCCTATCACTAGTTCGGGTGTCGACGCAACCCAATCCTGGAGTAACATTTTGCATTTCGAGGGAGAGAATCGCATGCCGAACAGGCTTGCATTGTTGCTTAGAGTGGTCAGCAGACTCTGCATTCTGTCAGCGTCTTCACTAAATAGAACTATGTCATCGGCATATTCTAAGTCAATAAGTGAATCTCCCGGTAGAAGTTCAACCCCTGGAAATTTAGATGAGGAAAGTGTCATCTCTAAAAGCACGTCAACGACAAAGTTAAACAAGCGTGGAGAGAGTGGACAGCCCTGACGAACGCCACTTGAGGTAATCAATTCTGGTGACAGTTCGCCATAAGCTCTCACTCGGCCAGTTGTGTTCGAGTAGAGAGCCTTTATAAGGTTAATGTACTTCTTTGGTACTCCTTTCAGTGACAAACACTGGCATAGAACCTCACGATCAACAGAGTCAAATGCCGCCTTAAGGTCGAGAAATACTACGATTGTGTGGCGTTTGAATGTGTGTCTATATTCTAGGACCAACATAGTATGTATATCTGGTTTATACAACCACATCCAGGTCGAAAACCAGCCTGGTTTTCTCTAGTCTGATCCTGACGAGCTTTAGTTAAGCGTCGAAGTATTATTGAAGCTAATATTTTAGACACTATATTAGTCAAACTAATTCTCTGTGATTGTCACAAGAGGACTTTTGTCCTTTCTTATAGACTGGCACAATCAGTGATTGAGACCAGTCAGATGGGATTACGTCCAGTTCCCAGATTCTACCTAAGACCTCGGTCAATCTCGCTGCTAATACTGGACCCTTATCCTTAAAAATCTCAGGGGTAAACCTGTCAGAGCCTACTGCTCTCCCACGCTTCAGATTTCCTATAGCTTTTTCAACTCCGTAAGGAGTCGTAGGACTTACATTAATTTGCCAATTAGGTAGATTGGAGATCGTGGGAAACCGAAGTGTGGCTGAAGGCCAGTTGAACTGATCCCTAAAGTATTCTGCCCATCGATCCAATCTCCTGGATTGAGAATGAATAATATGTCCATCTTTCTCTGAGATAGTTTCGCTAACAGTTGGGTTCCTAATACCGGTTTCCTTAACAAGTCTGAACAGTTGCCTGCTGTTACCTATTGCCGCTTCCTTTTCCATCTCTCTTGCTTTCGCTACCCACCACTGTTCACGATCTTTGCGTAGGCTTCTAGTCAGCTTGCGCTTAAGCTGACTTCACTTTTCATTATGTTCAGTGCCAAATGGAATGAGTTTTCGAGCATCTATCAGTGCGGTAGATGCTGCTGAGATCCAGTGTTTTGCTCTTTAACTTTATGGTTTGCCGTACTAGCAGATATCACTGCTTTTTTCCACAGCTTTTCGGATATCATTCCCTGCTGCCTCGCGGTGGGCATCCCATACGTGGCTGCCTAACTGTTTTTCTAGTTGTTCCTGAAATATACTCTTAGCTTGACTATCATTAACTAGGGCCCTAAGAGGTTTCCTTGCAGCGTCCTTCCTACGTTCAGTAAGACGCAGACAAATACGCGCTCGCACTAGAACATGATCTGAATCTGAGCATGTGCTCCAGAATGAGCGACAGTCTTCTATCGAGCCCCTCCATCGGTGGCTGGTAGCGATGTGATCTATTTGGGTCCAGCGTTGAGACAAATTAGGGTGTCGCCATGTCAAAAGATGTTTTTCCTTATGCTTAAAGTTAGTGTTTGCAAGAAACAGGTGGTTATCTGAGCATAGCTGCAACAGACGGTCGCCGTTATCTGTTCTTTGAGCCACGACACCATAAGATCCACCCAGGTGTCTTTCCTTTTCGCTTAGTTTACCTACTTGAGCATTCAAGTCACCAGCCACTATTACTACATGAGAGCTCCTAGCTTTTCGGAGAAGGTCGGAAAGCTTTCTGTAAAACTCATCTTTTACATCATCTGAGCTGCAGTCAGTGGGAGAGTAGGCAGAGACGACGAAGAGGCAACGACGAGTGTCCCTATCTTTTCGAGTCCTTACTGTTCCGTTTAGTCGGACAGCACACAAACGAGGTTTCATAGAGTAATTAATGGAGTTATAAACCTCTATTAACTGAGTTGAGTGATTAATGTAATACGTATACATAACTATTGTGTGCTCAAACCTGTCTCCACAGAACTAAAATGGAAGACGTCATACGGTTGTCAAACAAAGAAATGAAACCCATGAAGTCTAATTGTTGGTTTGAGCCATTTACAGAACTATAGGTTCACTAGATAGGGATTTGATGTACAGATAAAATCCATGAGAATCAAGTGAAACGACAACCTACCAATATAGATAAGTTGGTTTTCCGTTTTGTAATACGAGTTATTAGATTTAATCGTTTAAAGATTCTCATCATATCACAAAACTAATATTTGGACGAAGAATAATCTTTTCGATAAGTTCTCTTCAGGTTCTAGAATTATATATCCAAATTAATAATCAGAAAAGTGGCCAGGTTGAGGGCAAAGTGCACTTAGCCTGAAGAGAATTTATCGCAAAGAATATTCTTCACTCAAATATTAGTATTAGATTTAAACCTATTTACGTTGTAATTTCCTTCTGGTTCATTACTAACAATGGTTCTACTATGAACCATAGTGATGTTTTTTTATTCTTCATCTCTTAAGATTATGTTATAACATGAGACAACTTGGACTAATGTACTAATATGTAGCGACAAACGTTTTTGTCTTTCAGCTAGAACATGACAAGTCCATACAGTTTATTTTACTACCTTAGTAATAGTCTAACTATGAGATAAAGCTCGTTCACTGACTGCCAAACAATACTCCGAAAACATCATATTCCTTGAAGCTTTATATAACAGATGTACACAAAAGTACTTTTGATCTGTATACCTTAGTTAATCAGCGTCACAGCGATTAATGAACGCTGACTTCTTGAAACTATGAGTTTCACTTGTAAAAAGATCACACAGAATAGATATGATTGATAGAGTAATTGGTGCAGGAAGTGTTTACACATCTAACTTCTGATTGTTATACTAAACAACAATGTAAAAGAGTTTAAATCACGTTTGCGTCTGAAAAACATGTTAAAAACCTTGGTTATACGCCCCATTTTCACTTTCCGTCTAGCAAAGAAATCTCATAAGAAAACGCTAAAATGGTTTAAGCTTTTATATGGCATGAATAAATAAATATGTCTAGAAATAAAAGTATAAGATAAACTCAAATAATGTTATTGAGAAAGGACAACCAACCCAAACAACTGTTGTCACTAACTTATGGAACATAGATATATGATCGTCCAGCTTGGAGGTAAAATATTTCAGTACAATTATACACCACCTGAGCAAATCCTTTAGAAATAATGTGAATAAAAATGTACCAAATAAATAAAATTACTCTGAGAGTTAACTTGTTTTAGTCTAGTGAACAGAGTACATATGATCAACACACTTTTAATCAAGCCTTAGACTTTTTGCTGCAAACTGGAGCAAAATGACTACTGGTTTATATTTTGAGTCATATTTCACATCTCACGACAGTAACCATTTTGAGAAAACTATTCACAGAATTGTTATAAAACAACAAATGCGATTGTAATGACTATCCTATACTTAACGGAGTTAGTGAAGCTGTTTAGACGAGTGTAAAACGCGCCTAAAGCACGAAAACTACCATATCAAAGAAAAGAAACCGATAGAATCATTATATTTCTTATCTCGAAGGGGTTGTTAAACATGGGCATGGTGTTGCCATCAAATGTGAATACTTTTTCAAAGACAACAATGATTCCACATAAAGTTAAAAAAAACCATGAAGGCTAGGTCTCATGAGTTTTAAGAACAACTTTCGCACAATAGCAATATATACCCAAATTTCAGTGAAAACGCTAAAACTAAGAAAACCCTAAAACTTATGAACATTAATACCTGATGAAACGTTAGTACGATAACGGACTCCTACTCATTTTATAGAATTACTTTGAAATTCAGTGGTACAAAGTGCTTGTTGTGCAAGACGAAATTACGATACGATAATGACATAACATCGATTCATCATATTACTGTTGTTCCAGTATTCATCATTTAAATACTGAGTGTAGAAATGGGTACGTTACACAATATTTGGGTCACGCAACAAAATATTGGCAACATATACCTGATTTCCAAGCATCAAGTATATAACTTTCCATACGCTTAACACCTTTAAAGTTTGGTAAAACTTCATGGTTTATAGTTTAGCGTACACTAATAAACTGTACTTTAGGATTCTCTTTGGTTTCGCTTATGGGTGATGTAGTTACACCTACTTTAAATATATGTCGAGCACGAGGCTTCACTAAGAATAGAATAGAACTCTATATTATACCTATGTCAACATCTCTTTAATGTACTTCAAGACTCATCAAAAAAATGACAGTCACAATTCATGTTACAATTTATGCTAGTAAATTTTCATCCCACTAAATGATAAATCTTAATAGTAAACAATAAGATTGCAACCAATTGTTTACAACCGACAACAACAGATAGCAAAGTAGCTTTCTGTTGTATAGAAAGTTTGGTGGAATTGTGTAAGATTAGAATTCATTAGTAAAGCACAAAAGAAACTGACCCTATTTCCACCAGACTTTTATTTTACTCCCACATCATATCTTGTCAGATTCTGATAGATGTTCTGTTGTATTTCCTAGATGCTGTCAGCATAACAACTATAAAGAAATGAATTGATTTTTAACCAGAATAAATAATTATATAAGTAGCACTATAAATTAATTGATTATAACCAGAAAAATAGTGCGAAATATATGCAATTTAAAAACAGTACTCACCTGATTGTAAACTAAAGGTACATTCACCCAATCATACATGCACAGTTTATACAACTTTTCCCAAAACTCTACCACCTGATTGACTAATGCATCCACATGTCTTTCTTCGCGTATCATATTTTCTTCGTGAGCTTTCGTAATCAGAGAAATGGCCCATACCAATGGAACGAAAAAGTTGCTTGTTGATTCTTCCAAACTGGAATAAATTTCTAGTTCCTGTTCAGTCATTAAGCCACATATGACCAAACTATCAAGAGTCGGGAATCGTTGTTTCATACCAATAGATATTGAGCAAAAGCATAAAGCAGAAGCCAAGTTGACGTAACGGCTAATGGTCCTCCTGAAAATCAACGCTCTTTCTTCGCCGTCTTCTGCTTTTTTGTGATCGTTGAGATTAGGATTTTCACCCAAATAGGCTGATAAAAGTACGCATATCGCATCAGGAGTTGGTAAACAAAGAAACTGCTGCAACCATCGACTAACTACCAAGTTCACATAAAATGCCAAAACGAAGGATAATGGGACAGCATTTGTTACACGTCCAGCAATGTAGCAAATTTGGACAAAAAGAAGCCTGGCATTCCGATATTCCGGTTTATCTGGTATGGAGTGATAAGCGATCGCTACAACGGCGTAAAAGAAGCAGTAAACTAGTAAACCGGGCCATACTAATTTATAAAGACTTCCACGCCATCGAAAAAGCAGACGGAAAAATGACCCATACTTGACGGTTGCTATGAGACTGCCGTAGCTGACAGTCATTGCTTGCGTTAAGGCATGATACTAACACGCAATACAATGTGGCCTCAATTTGACCTTGACGTTAAAATCAAAACGAGTGCGGCGTTTTGATTGGATGGTTTCTTAAAGTAAATAAGTGGGAGTTGCTTTCTACTCTGATTGGCTCATAAAGGAAGATGTATACATTTCCGCATTCTTACGTTGTTAGTGTCTTAAGGGAAGTACTTGCAAATGAAATGGTTTAATTTTCTTCTTGGATTACTTTTGATATATTTTGATATCTCTGATTGTTTTTCAGTGAATAATCTAAGCTGCTATGAGTGTGAGATAGTAGACAGAGAACGTAAAATGTCTCTTTGGCCCTGTGATGAATCAAATGGACCTTGGCAGAAACTTGATGGCTGTAAGGCTTGCATCAAAATTGAGGAAGTCCAAAGAATCGACTTTCGAAAACCTAGATGGGGACAACAATACCATGAAATAAAAACCGTTTCCAGATTATGTCTCAGAAAGTTCGAACCGTCATTTTCAGACACATGCTTTCAGACGTACGGAAGTTCGTCAACACAAAAGCGTTGTTACTGTTCCACAGATTACTGTAATTATGATCCAAAAACTTTATCAGTAAGCTTCAAATCATTGCTTGCTATATGTAGTCTTTCTCTTTTAATTTTACATGTTCGTTGATCATATTTTGTTACATACACCGACCCATTTTTTTACCAGTGTAGTGTATTAGATATGCATAAATGCCCATTATACCATCTCAAATCACAAAGCAAGTGTACAAATATTCTCATACAACATATTGTATACATTTCTCCCTAACGATTATCACACTATGCATGGGATATATTGTAGTTTTGGTATTTCTACTTATCCTATAATTGTATTTCCTTTTTGAGAAAAACACACGTTTTTCAAATTAATCTAACCATTGGTATCACACTTTCATAATAATTAGTGTCAAACTATCTGAAAATATAACGTCAGTCATCTGTATTGTCTACGAAATTTGTGTTTTCCCAATGGATTAAAAATGTTAATTTCTAGCGAAGTCAAATAATAGACTCATTGTTATCGAAATGTAAGCTAGTTTGTTTTTCGCAGGAAGAATGATTATTGATGGCTTAATTAATGATGGTTGCACAAATTATCACTTACAGTTACTGATTATATCGGTTCTCATTTATGACAAGTTAAGCTAAATAAACCATAGGCTGGCAAGTAAAAATTGTCTCTGAAAAAACCCACATCAATTTTTTTCATATTGAATAAACTCAAATAAAACTAATGTCTAATTTGTTTAAGTTTAAAAATATGTTATTTTAATCATAGATAGCTTCACTTGAAGCGTTTACCATTTGATAAATACGCTTTCTTATCTAGCCCATTAAAATTTGTCAAAATAAGAAGTCTTAAAGAATAAACTATTCGGATTAAACTGTCACAAAACTATCTCATATTTAGTTATTATCAAGTGCATAAATCGGTTTTTTAGGTAACTTGTACAAATTTCTAAATTTCATCCCTGCAGTTGTATCAGAAAATTCCAACCTGTGTCATTAGCTAGGTGGAGAATAAAGCTGAATTTAGATTTCAACCAACTAACTGTATCGTGCTCACTGTGGGTCTTTTGGATCCTAGGTTCCTTCAAGAGATAATACTGTGCTGTTTCAGGAAAACGTTTTGTATACTGTGGTTTTGACGAAGCATGTCTTTTCCTATATTGATTTTCTAATTTTAAGCTAGACAAAGTTGTTAATTGACAAAAATGCAGTGTTTGAACTTTGTATTAAAGTGGTTTCCTCAATTTTAAAGCTCATCATTTTTATAGGACTACATCTCACTCAAAGTTATTGTATTTCTTTAGATAGTCAAATTAGTATCTTAAAAATTCCAGAGAAGTATTTCACTAGTTTACCGAGATATTATAGCCCATTTTTTGATGAATGACTCTAGCCGTTGATAAACTTTGATGTTTAAAATATCTGAATAACAGCAGTGAATTAGTCTCCAGTGTTAGCTCACTGGTTTACTATACATATGCTATTATGTACCTTGTTGTTATGTTTTATGAAATTTGCTCGGTACTATGCCTCTTTATTCATGAGTAATTAGTTGTCCATATCTAACATCTCGATTTAATATTCTTCACTAAATATTATGTTTATCAAACGTTTACTCTATACTTATGTACTGATTTACTACCCAATTGGATTTTCCTGATGTATTATCTTTACATTCGTTCGTTTTCTTTTTGAATTGACTTAAATAAACACCTATCTTATTAGCCTCCGATTTGTAATCTTCGATAACTGGTGCTTTTCATTTGTGATAATTGCACTTGGAGTTTGTTAATTTAAAAAGATGGTATTCGTGATTTGTGGGATAAGGATAAGGCCTGATAGTCATCTTGATTTCCTGGAAGGTAAGTGGCCTACAAAATCCATGTCTTGCAATCGATTGTAGTCTGAGCTATCGTCCTCCATATTTATTTCCACATTTTTATTCTGAATATGAGTGTGGTTTCTTACCATAAAGAGTAGGCTGTTCCGTTGGCCAGTTATGATATCAGTCTACTTGAATGTTAGTATCAATAATTCAGTCTGAAGGGCAGCTATTGGTCACCACATAACAACCACAAAAGGATCCTCTAAATAAGTCAAAAGCTTTCGTTGTAACTTGATATAAACTGTTTACCAATAGATCTCAATAAAATAGTGCCTTTCGTGTGTTTTTTGAACGAAATCCGAGTTACGTAAAAGTTTATAGTTTAATGTTCGACAATATTCTATTCATCATGTGGTAAATTAATATACAGAGCACTAATCAGTATTAAAATGTATGTTATTCAGATTTTAAGTAGCTTTTTGTGGATCGATAACGATTGATGGGCTCATATTAGAAACTAGAAAATGTAACCATTGAAGAACTCTTCAGTACACAAAAACATTTAGATGTCATATTACTGTTAAACTGACTATTTTAAGTCTTGAGGTCATTTAGCTTCAGTTGATTTGTGAAAACTATTTTTGTCCTAACAAGACTTAGAGAACCATTCAAACCTTTTAAACCACTTACCCGTTAATTTTAAATGTTACACTAGATTTTCCCGTCCTAGATTTGTTTCATACAGACACCTGCATGATATAAGCACAAGAGATACATATTTTTATCAAAATCTTACGACCTATTATGAAGTGGAACACTGCAGAGCCTAAATGATACTATCACAGCGGCTGATATGATTTCCTCCTTGTGTGATATTTTGGAGAAACAACAGGCAATTATTTTACAAACTCGTTAATTTACACAACATAGAGAACAAAACATGATAGAAGATAAACTTGAGTGACAAGTAACCATTGCTAGGAAACCTTTTTTAGAATAATCACAAATCAGATGTGCGTAGGAGAGGAGTATGTTGTGATTTTACATATTTTAAGCTAAGAAACATTAACTGTAATCAATTATTTGGTATTGGATAAAATGGTTTTTATCATTCCCGACGAATGAACTTCACTAGTCGTTTGTCAATGTTGCTTGGAGATTTCACAAAATCAGTTAATAGTTCTTAATTTTGAGAAACTTCTTTCTAGGATGAGACAGCTGTTTGATTCTTTTTTTGTTTTTCTGCTGAAGTTAGTCTACGGTCTAAACTGTCCCTAAACTGAACAATTTCTGAGAAATTTCCGCCCTAATAATAATCATATTGTCACCAGTTGAATTCGCTAGTTCTAGTATCTGTGACTGGTGGAATTCATGGAGGTTGGCAACAAGTTTAATGCTATTTTCATTCAAGTAATAACTGAAAGCATATTTAATTGTGTAAATAAATATATTCAGATTTTTTTACAAGACCAAAGTGTCCAGAGATTTTTTGTGAATATCAACAGAATCTACTACTTTATGTGACTCAGGTTAAAACATGTTATTCTGATCTTTGCCATAAGAAAACTGATCTCACCCGCAACATTTTATATCATTGCTAAAATAATAAGAGCTGCAAAGTAGTAGATCATCCTTGGATATTTATGGACATATATCATACTCTTGTGTACTAAACACTTGTTCACCAAGTTCCGTACTTTACTAAAAGTCAAAGATCATTTTTCCGATCTTTCAGTTTACACTACTTTTACGTTCTTCTCGTAGAGCTTTGTTCAAACTTTACTTCTGTCTGAGACGTTTCGGTGAATATCTGAACTAAATAAAGGACTAAAGAAGCCTTGACGAGCAATGGGAGCTATTTTTGCGGACATTATTTCACTTAATTCAAAGTTTGTAAAATACTAGTTTTTATTTTTGTCTTTGGTTTGTTCTATAAACCATAAGCTTTCATTTGATGTATGCTTTATTTATTTATGGTTTTTTATGTCAAAGTTATTGTAGTGTAAACGTAAACTTTCGTACTCCATTTTATTATCCTAATGCTTAGTTTTGGCACAGTTGTACTTTTTTAATTGTTTGTACACTATGGTCGTGTTAGTCACCCGCTTATTCGTACCCTTTTTGCATTGATCTGAATCAGGAGCGAATCGAGTAGTGTTTCAGTCGACTCGTCTTCGTCTTTCTTATCTGTCAACCCCAAGACCTTTTGAGTTACAATTCGGACTCACACCTTGCTAGCTCCAAGGTCAAACCAGTTAGCTGATCATATCAGCGCCTTAATCTAGATCAAGACAAGTTTTCTCTTGTATATTATTGGGTAGACAGGTGAAGGACGTAACAATATCTTGAGTGCACTGCTCCTTATTAGACACCTTCAACATATAATCTCGCCAGCAGCACGTAAGAATCACTTTTGATGTCATTGTTGAATATTCACTTGCAGTATTTATATAGTTGTGCATGTATCTTGGTGCGATTAAAGACGCCGGATTTGACATAACTTGATCTTAGTAGATATCTATTAATCTTATCTGTGCAATGCAAGGACATTTAAGACGATAAGCAAATTATATGACAGTGTAAAAATTATTGATATAGATGGTCAAAAAACTTGTAAATATAGCGTAGAAAATAAAAATCCAAATACTTGTGATTAATTGCAGATATCATCTGGTATGAGTTTTAATAGCCCTTCTGAATTTAAACATCATCAGTTATGACGATATACTTATCATGTTTACATGTTATGCATGAGCTGATTTCATCATTAAAATGTGCTAACTTGTGAAATCATTTAAGTATAAACCCATGGTCCATTTGCGGTGAAATCTGCCAAGATAGATTACTTGTGAAAAAACAATAAACAGTTTTGTCAGTATTGCTTTTGTAAATAGATCGTTCGTATTCCAGCTAAAATAATTATCCAGCGTAAAAATAAACTATAGACATCAGAACTTCAACAAACAGTGAAACTATCAAGATAAAATCAGTTTCAGTTTGGAAAGTATAGAATGCTTGTTGGTCTGTGTTAGTCCTGACCATGATGGTCTCTAAGTTGATCCAACTTTCTTTTGAAAGAGTCGACAGATAAAGCCTCAATCACGTGTTAAAGTAACGAATCCCACTCGTCGATACTTCGACGGGGAAGTTGAGAGTCAGCTGACAAGTAATTTGTTCTGGGCTTGTGAACTTCTTGGAGTGTCCTCATAAATTATCTATTTTGAAAAAAAAAATGAGGGTATATCAGATGCAAATCACTAAGTAATTTGAAAACTGTAATTAAGTTACCTCTAGTTCCTCCATATGGCGATGGAAGTATGTTTAGTTTAGCCAGTCGAGCATCATATGGAGCTACATTATTCCAGGAATCAGCTTAGTTGCTCTTCTCTAAACCTTTTCCAAAATCTCACTGTATTCCTTAAAGCAGGGGCTAGCTTCTTGTATACAATCCTCAAGCTTATGATGACTTCTAAGTCCTTTTGTGTCTGTGCAACAGGTGGCTCAATGTTATTTATAATGTATGTATCTGTACATTGATGACCAATATGCATTGAAATATTATTTAGGTAAAGACTATTACTAAATGTATTTGCATTGACTTGCGAACTAAGAACTCCGAAAATAGCCCAATTTAAGACAGGTAGAAATGGATGAGCACAACTGGACGTAGTGTACTTGGGATTCCTAATAAGCGCCCAATCAAGTAAAAAGGAATC